TTGTTAGCGCTATAATAACTAGCACAGAACAGCTTTCCGAATTGCAAATAAAGCATTTTTAGCTTAATTATGATGTTTGAAAAACGCTGCATTTTTAAAATAATTGCCTGTTTTTATACCTTTTTTCTGGAAATTATAATTGTAGTCAGAATCTTTTAACAACATCAACAAACGCAGTATGCAGATTTGTTAGCGCTATAATAACTAGCATAGAACAGCTTTCTGAATTGAAAATAAAGCATTTTTGGCTTAATTACGATGTTTGAAAAACACTGATTCTTTTAAAAAATTGCCTGTTTTTATACCTTTTTGCAGGCTATTAGTAATATTCTCAAGCTAATTACACTACGAAGGAATAATTTCCGACCCTATAAATCATATATATTCTTGATCAGAATGAACAGCTGAATCGAATTAGCAATGTTTAGTGGAAAAATAAATTTTTGCATTTTTTGCGAAATTTGAAAAAAAGATAAGGGGTTACATCATTAAAATTTGCAAAATTCGACAAAAAATTGAATTTTTTTAATTTAAAAACGCAGTATGCAGATTTGTTAGCGCTATAATAACTAGCACAGAACAGCTTTCCGAATTGAAAATAAAGCATTTTTGGCTTAATCACGAAGTTTGAAAAACACTGATTATTTAAAATAATTGCCTGTTTTTATACCTTTTTTCTGGAAATTATAATTGTAGTCAGAATCTTTTACCAACATCAACAAACGCAGTATGCAGATTTGTTAGCGCTATAATAACTAGCACAGAACAGCTTTCCGAATTGAAAATAAAGCATTTTTGGCTTAATTATGATGTTTGAAAAACGCTGAATTTTAAAATAATTGCCTGTTTTTATACCTTTTTTCTGGAAATTATAATTGTAGTCAGAATCTTTTACCAACATCAACAAACGCAGTATGCAGATTTGTTAGCGCTATAATAACTAGCACAGAACAGCTTTCCGAATTGAAAATAAAGCATTTTTGGCTTAATTATGATGTTTGAAAAACGCTGAATTTTAAAATAATTGCCTGTTTTTATACCTTTTTTCTGGAAATTATAATTGTAGTCAGAATCTTTTAACAACATCAACAAACGCAGTATGCAGATTTGTTAGCGCTATAATAACTAGCACATAACAGCTTTCCGAATTTAAATTAAAACATTTTTGGCTTAATTACGATGTTTGAAAAACACTGATTCTTTTAAAAAATTTCCTGTTTTTATACCTTTTTGCAGGCTATTAGTAATATTCTCAAGCTAATTACACTACGAAGGAATAATTTCCGACCCTATAAATCATATATATTCTTGATCAGAATGAACAGCTGAATCGAATTAGCAATGTTAAGTGTAAAAAAAAATTGTTGCATTTTTTCCGATATTTGAAAAAAAGATAAGGGGTTACATCATTAAAATTTGCAAAATTCGACAAAAAATTGAATTTTTTAAATTTAAAAACGCAGTATGCAGATTTGTTAGCGCTATAATAACTAGCACAGAACAGCTTTCCGAATTGAAAATAAAGCATTTTTGGCTTAATTATGATGTTTGAAAAACGCTGAATTTTAAAATAATTTCCTGTTTTTATACCTTTTTTCTGGAAATTATAATTGTAGTCAGAATCTTTTAACAACATCAACAAACGCAGTATGCAGATTTGTTAGCGCTATAAAAACTAATACAGAACAGCTTACCGAAATGAAATTAAAACATTTTTGGCTTAATTACGATTTTTGAAAAAGACTGATTCTTTTAAAAAATTGCCTGTTTTTATACCTTTTTGCAGGCTATTAGTAATATTCTCAAGCTAATTACACTACGAAGGAATAATTTCCGACCCTATAAATCATATATATTCTTGATCAGAATGAACAGCTAAATCGAATTAGCAATGTTTAGTGGAAAAATAAATTTTTGCATTTTTTGCGAAATTTGAAAAAAAGATAAGGGGTTACATCATTAAAATTTGCAAAATTCGACAAAAAATTGAATTTTTTAAATTTAAAAACGCAGTATGCAGATTTGTTAGCGCTATAATAACTAGCACAGAACAGCTTTCCGAATTGCAAATAAAGCATTTTTAGCTTAATTATGATGTTTGAAAAACGCTGAATTTTTAAAATAATTGCCTGTTTTTATACCTTTTTTCTGGAAATTATAATTGTAGTCAGAATCTTTTAACAACATCAACAAACGCAGTATGCAGATTTGTTAGCGCTATAATAACTAGCATAGAACAGCTTTCTGAATTGAAAATAAAGCATTTTTGGCTTAATTACGATGTTTGAAAAACACTGATTCTTTTAAAAAATTGCCTGTTTTTATACCTTTTTGCAGGCTATTAGTAATATTCTCAAGCTAATTACACTACGAAGGAATAATTTCCGACCCTATAAATCATATATATTCTTGATCAGAATGAACAGCTGAATCGAATTAGCAATGTTTAGTGGGAAAATAAATTTTTGCATTTTTTGCGAAATTTGAAAAAAAGATAAGGGGTTACATCATTAAAATTTGCAAAATTCGACAAAAAATTGCATTTTTTAAATTTAAAAACGCAGTATGCAGATTTGTTAGCGCTATAATAACTAGCACAGAACAGCTTTCCGAATTGAAAATAAAGCATTTTTGGCTTTATTATGATGTTTGAAAAACGCTGAATTTTAAAATAATTGCCTGTTTTTATACCTTTTTTCTGGAAATTATAATTGTAGTCAGAATCTTTTAACAACATCAACAAACGCAGTATGCAGATTTGTTAGCGCTATAATAACTAGCACAGAACAGCTTTCCGAATTGAAAATAAAGCATTTTTGGCTTAATTATGATGTTTGAAAAACGCTGAATTTTTAAAATAATTGCCTATTTTTATACCTTTTTTCTGGAAATTATAATTGTAGTCAGAATCTTTTAACAACATCAACAAACGCAGTATGCAGATTTGTTAGCGCTATAATAACTAGCACAGAACAGCTTTTCGAATTGAAATTAAAACATTTTTGGCTTAATTATGATGTTTGAAAAACGCTGAATTTTTAAAATAATTGCCTGTTTTTATACCTTTTTTCTGGAAATTATAATTGTAGTCAGAATCTTTAAACAGCATCATCAAACGCAGTATGCAGATTTTTTAGCGCTATAAAAACTAGCACAGAACAGCTTTCTGAATTGAAAATAAAGCATTTTTGGCTTAATTATGATGTTTGAAAAACGCTGAATTTTAAAATAATTGCCTGTTTTTATACCTTTTTTCTGGAAATTATAATTGTAGTCAGAATCTTTTACCAACATCAACAAACGCAGTATGCAGATTTGTTAGCGCTATAATAACTAGCACATAACAGCTTTCCGAATTTAAATTAAAACATTTTTGGCTTAATTACGATGTTTGAAAAACACTGATTCTTTTAAAAAATTTCCTGTTTTTATACCTTTTTGCAGGCTATTAGTAATATTCTCAAGCTAATTACACTACGAAGGAATAATTTCCGACCCTATAAATCATATATATTCTTGATCAGAATGAACAGCTGAATCGAATTAGCAATGTTAAGTGTAAAAAAAAATTTTTGCATTTTTTCCGATATTTGAAAAAAAGATAAGGGGTTACATCATTAAAATTTGCAAAATTCGACAAAAAATTGAATTTTTTAAATTTAAAAACGCAGTATGCAGATTTGTTAGCGCTATAATAACTAGCACAGAACAGCTTTCCGAATTGAAAATAAAGCATTTTTGGCTTAATTATGATGTTTGAAAAACGCTGAATTTTAAAATAATTGCCTGTTTTTATACCTTTTTTCTGGAAATTATAATTGTAGTCAGAATCTTTAAACAACATCATCAAACGCAGTATGCAGATTTTTTAGCGCTATAAAAACCAATACAGAACATCTTTCCGAATTCAAATTAACGGATTTTCTGCTTAATTACGAAGTTTGAAAAACACTGATTATTTAAAAAAAGGGCCTGTTTTTATACCTTTTTTCTGGAAATTATAATTTTAGACAGAATCTTTTAACAACTTCAACAAACGCAGAATCCAGATTTGTTATATTTTGACTTAATTAAAAAAACGCTGAATTAAAAAAAAAAAATTGCCTGTAAACTTTTAAACGAAATTATAATACCCTGTAAGAGTATTACAGTGAAAGGCTGAGCATTTTAGTTTTCATCAATTGCATACTCGAGATGAAAATTCGTATGAGGTCTATCGAGTTTTAAATACAAAAAAATATGGATATGGACAAAAACTTTTAGAGAACAAAACAAGCCGGTAATACAGATTTTGAGTCTTCTTTAGTTGACAATTTTTATTTCACATACATAAATAGTTTTGACATTTTAAAATTTCAGTTTTCAATGTATTATTTATTCTTTTTGTTCAACAACCAATAGAACTTAGGTGGTAGCTATGCGATTTGCAGTTTGAGCAGAACTAGTTCCCCGGAGGGCAAACTCTAGTTATTATCATTGGTTTCTTGTGCCAGACAGAGCATAAGTTCAGATGTGTGTGCTTTACGACTAGACAGTTGGTGACGACGTTCCAGATTGTGGGTCTGAACGTTCTCTTTTCAGTTGGCTAAAATGCTAGTTAGTTGACTTAAAAAACTGGCCTCGCTTGCTGCTTGTTGTACTCGTTGCCCAAAATGGCATAAAATACTATTGATAAGCGCCTGATTTTCTCTGTTAAAATACATGCTTCTCGTAATAAAATGATTCCTTGTAGTTAAAATATACATATACATTTATGTATATACCTTTTATATATATATATATATATATATAATTATATGGTAAATTGTATTGTTTCCAAATTGAGTGTTGATCTTTGCACATTTAAGGCCTGTTGTTCACTTAGCCTAGAGTTGGGTTTTGAGCCGAGTGTTGCGTTCCCTTTGGATTTGAGCAAGCAGTTTCGATGTGAGCTATAACCTATACACCTTTCGATCTATCCACCTGAGTGCGAGTGTGGTGCTACGTTTAGAGTGTGTGTGTGTGTTGTGTGTGCGCCGTGCGCTTTATGAAATACAAGATCGTGTTTGTTGAAACCAGACAAAACTGATGAATGTATCGTTATCGTTACCGTAGAATAGACACCTGCCAGTTAGGTATTAATTACAATTACTAATGCACATTGACTTAGAAACTAAAACGTATATCCTACGAATACAGATCAGGGCAGACATGGGCCAGGAGTGCTGGCTTTCTTTCCCTTGCCTGCTGCTTGCTGGACGGCTCTTCACTTCGATGCGGGGGCAGTCCTTTACTCGTAAAAGGCTTCGAAAAAGCTCTCTTTAACAGGGAAGAGTAAGAAAATAAACCATTAAAGGAATCTATAAATTAAAATGATCAATCAAATCTATGGATGCTTTAAAGAAAACGGTTTCAAAGAACATGTAAAAAGTTGTATACATTTTTAGAGATTCATTTTAACTTTAAAAAATTGATATAAACAAGTGAAAAATCACAAAAATCCCATGCATCCACTGAGAGCTTCTACTGCCTTTTCGAGTCTCCGGAGTCTGCCTTAAAACTAACCACTAAAATTTCGACTGACTATGCTCGGTTTACGGGGAATGACTTAGGGCTACAAAACTAACACACGGATATGGATAAGGATACGGCTACGGTTACGGATATACAACACGCTTCGACTACTAAATGCAGAGCTGAATGAGCTGGTGACAACGATTAGTTGGTACACGAAAACTAAAGATCTTTCTCCACTTGGCGGCGCCTCATTCCTGCTTCAGTCGCTTGGCCTCGTTGCCCACGTCGCCGCCACTGCTGGCCGAGCTGGGTGTCGTCTGTTGCTCCGTGTCGCTGGTTATGTAGGCGAACTGGCACTCGAACTCAAAGTCCATATCCTTTTTCTGCTTTGAATCACACTTATCTTTATAAGTTAAACATCAAATCGAATGGAATGTGCTTGTGGTCTTACCATCCGCTCACAGATGACGGCAATGGCAGTCTTGTGCTGTGCCTCGGCGATCTTGTGCTCCACCAGGTAGAACATGTACTCATCGAACAGCAGGCGGATGAGGTGGAAACTACCGAAGCTGGAAGCGGAGCGGAGTGTCAGGTCCCGAATAATCATTGAGCTGTAGAAGCTCCATTTGAGCAGAAACTGTCGGGCGGCTCTGGCATAGCTCGGCTTCCCATTGTACTCCTCCATGGCGGACTCAACCACCAGCTGAAGCCAGCTGGCCCACTGTTCCAGCGAGCTCTGCTGCTGAAGGGCGGCCTTGAAGTCGTTCTCCAGGCGCTGCACCACAGCGGGAGCACACTGACTCACCCAGGCAGCTTGCTCCTATAGGAAAATATAATTAATTTCTATTTTATATTATTTTGGTTAATGGAAAACCCACCTGAACATTATGAAAATCCACTCGGTTGAGATCGCTTAGCATCTGAGAGATTTGGGCACCATTCTGGAGCACTGCTCGAGCGGCCTGCGCCAGGTGATTCAGCGAGGTGTAGCGGCGCAGCGTTTGGCAAAAGGCCGAGACGGCACTGGTCTTGATCTGGGCCAACTGCTCCGGCACGCCCATCATGCTCTCGCATAGCCAGATCTCCAGATTCTTGGCAAAGTTGCGGATGGCCTGGGTCAAGGCGTTGGGTATGGAGCGCAGCACATCCGGAATGATGACGTCGACGGTGTTTTGATAGAATTGATAGTCAACCTAGGATTAATAAAGGAAATAAATATATAATTTATATTGAAAATAAACAATGCGTTGGCTTTCATTTTTGGCGAAACCTTTCAGCCTATGAAAACCGGAACACACCGAGGAAAAGGGCACTCGGCACCCTCCCTATTCTTCTCCACACCCACCTCTCGCACAAATTTCTGCACTTCTGCGCAGTGGCACAACAGATACAGCTTCGTCTTGCTCAAGTACTTCTCCTCCTCGCACTCATCCAGGTTGTTGTTGTCGCTCGCCCGCCAAAAGTCGCGCAGCAGGAACTCCACGGTGCCAAATTCCAGGTTTAGAACAGCGTCCAGGAAGGACTCGCAATGCTCGCGATACAAGGCCCGGAATGTATCCACATCCTCCAGCGTTAGTTCGCTATTGAAGCTATGGCTTAGCTCGATGGCCGGAAACGAGGGCAGGGCACTGCTTCCATCGCCAATGTACTGCGGATTTGGAAAGGATTGGAAGAGAGAGGGAGGAAATCAATCAATAATTGGTTTTAGGTTTCTTTTTTATATGAGGGAATTGACATTTTCAATCAGGAAGCTCGTGTCCTAGGTGAATATTTTATGATCTTTAAAATAGCAAAAGGAACTTCAAGGAAACTCTTTTCTTTTATGTATTAAATTGCCGGTTGTTTAGTTTTTAAGTTACTTTTAGTAGAAATATTATGGTAATTATTAATTTATAGGAGCTACTTTGGGTTTTATTACTAGGGAACAGAAATTATATTTTAATTAAGTTAAATTTTGTCAAAGGAAAGCTAATAAATGGTAATTTGCCTACAGACAAAGTAAGTTCTTGTCTTCAGCAAAAAATTTAAAGAAGCTAAAACTACTATTAAATAAGATGAAATTCTTTATACAATAAAATAATAAAAAAATAATGTTCTTTTGGAGAGTAAACCTGACCTTCCTGACTTCTTAAAACTCTACTTTTTACGTTTCACTAATTGGATCCTCACCTGTATGCAAGCCTCATAGGTCTCCGGCTTAAAAGTGTGCTTCTTGGTGCCGTTGTGCCGCTGTCCCTGGCCACCGCCGAGACCATTGGCACCCATTTGGCCGGCGGTGCTGCTGCTGACGCTGACCAAAGCGCCGCCACTGGAGACGGTGCCGCTGGATCCACCGGATGATGGTCCATAGCCGGAGCCCAGCATCTGTTTGTCGTCCATCGCTTGATGATTCAGCAGCGAGCCGGGCTTGATGCGGATGCCATAGTAATGGTACTTGGAGTTGCCGCGTGTGCCCAGGCGACGTGTGCGCAGGCCGGAGAACACGGAGCGTATCAGCTTGCCGAAACTGGCTGCATTCACGGGCTCCAGCTTCTGTTCGCTGCAGTGCTGCATGTAGTGGTTGTACAGCGTGCTCCTGGGCAGGCTCACCCCGTCCGCCGTCTCGTAGTTGCGCGACAGCCACTTGATCTGGCGCCACAGAGCAGGATAGACACACAGAGAGAGAGAGAGAGAAAGGGAATTCTGTATTGGGGATGCTGTCCATAGGGCGTATCCATGGATGCACTCACCGTTGCCGAGGCAATCTTGTTGCTACTGCCGAGCGCACTCTGCTCCGAGTCCGGGGAGGCGCCTCCGCCACCGGTCCCCAGGCTGCCGCCGCTCGCCGAATGCGTTGTGGTCGTCGAGGTGGGCGTCTGGGGCGTGCTCTGCGCCTCCTGGATGTACGCGACCTCCTGCACCCAGTGGCGATTAGTTCCGTTCACGTTCAACCGCTCTGCCTCCCCATCATCATCCCGCTCCCCCCACTCCCGACTACTCACCGTCAGGCTGTGCGGCGAATCGCGTCCATGCGACTGTGACTGTGACTGTGACTGCGACTGGGACTGTGCCTGGGACAGCGAGTGTGCGGAGCCATTGAGCAGCAGGCCCTCCTCTACCGGCACCAGATACGGCAGCGTCGTGGAATGGGCCCCATTCGAGGAACCGCCCGCCGAGGAGGTGGCTCCATACTGACCCGTGGTCGAGTAATACGCTGTCTGGCCGTTGCCCTGGTAATCCCCCACCGGGCAGAATGGATACGTCCTGGAACAGATGAGGGGGGCGGAAGAAGAAAAGCAACAGAGTTTAGGTCGAATCACTCATTCATTTAACCAGCTTCACGCTTCTCTCACTCACATTTGTGTCTGGCTGGAATTGCTGTGGTACAGCTCCGAGTCCACATATTGCACTTGGTAGTTTTGCTCCTGTCCGGAAACTGGAAGATAGTTAAGGAAAGAAATGTAATATTAATAATAGGAACAGGACTATAAGATTCTAAATAAGTAATCTATAGGTATACTGAAAGTTGAACTTAGAAGTTTGTAAACCCTTGCAGGAGATTTATCATAACTAAGCCAAAATGCATGAAATTGAATTCGGAAAGCTGTCCAATGTCGGTTTATCATTCTAAAATATGTCAGATTTAGACAATTTTAATGATGATACCCCTTATTAAATTTTCAAATTTGGGAAAATTTTTGAATTGTATTTTTCTACCGGACATGGCTAGATCGATCCGCCTTTTAATGCTGATCAAGAATATATTATTTTCAAGATTCGGACTAAAATTATAATACCCTGCAAGACTATAAATATATATAATATATATAAATGAAAAATCTATGGCATACTTTAATTTCTCCTTCTATTTATACATAATCCATCCGTCGGTTAATTGGTTATTTAATATAAGTTGTTAAAACGTCTTTAACTTTCAAAAACTCTTGTAGTAACTGCAGATTTAAAGACTTTATCAGACTAGTAATTAAATAATGACTTACGCACTCGCACAAGCTTACTTCAAGTATCAATAAATTAGAAGGAAACTTTTCACCCTTTCTATCGATGTATATATGGAAATAGTTTACTTAATATCAAACCACAAACTTTGAACAGGAATTATTGAGGAGACCTTCTGTGTAAATACTTTTGATTCAATCAACAAACGGAAGTCTTTGGTTTGCCAATTCATTGATAAAGACACTTGACACTCTTACTGGCCACATGCAATGCAGCAGCAAGGACCTCTTTGATACACCAAAATAAATAAGGATACTTTTGAAAATTTGAGAAGAAATAAAGTGAAATATTAGAGAAAAGATATTTCTGTAGTGTAAGGAATTAAAATAAAAAAATAAATCAAGTTGAAAATCAACTTGTAAGCTCAAGAAATATATATCTTTCGGTTACAGTCTTAGATTTCTTCTTATACTATCTTTGTGAGTTATTTTCCATCCCAAACTCTGCTTAAATTGTGTGCTGTGTACACACAAAGTTTATATTTCCACAGAACCCCAAGATGCTGCCTTTGAAACCTTAATTATAGTTCAAAGTTTGAACGGAACTCGAGATTCATTCAAATGGGAATAAGGACAGACAGATGCAGATATTTACCACCGCAGTAGGACAAGTTGTTGTGGCGTCTATGATGATGATGGTACATGGTGGCACTGGTGGCCGATCCACCCGCCGAAAGCACCGAATTGGTGGCTCCAGCGGCTGTGGCACAGGAAGCAGATGCTGGGGAGCACGCACTGGCTCCACTACCCGGGCTCGTTCCCGTGCCCGCTCCAATCCCAGAGCAGTTGCTGTAGCTGGCTGCTGTGGCAGTGGCCACGAATGTCTGGTGGTGATGGTGGTGGTGGTGATGATGCAGCTGCAACTGCAGCTGGGCGGGCGGCGGTGGTACGGGTGCCACGGAATTGGTGGCCACGGTTTGCTTGCAACGACACTTTTCCAACAGATTCGAATAGGCCACGGCAGCAGCGGTTGTGGGGCTAAGAGCTGGTGGAGCAGGCGATGACTGGAACTGCTGGTGGTGCTGGAGCTGGAGCTGATGCTGCTGTTGCTGGTGCGTCTGCTGATGCGGCTGCTGCTGCTGATGGTGGTGGTGATGACGCGATTGGCAGTCAAAGCCGTACCGCGAATGCATTCGTTTGGCCGGAATTGATGAGCGAAGGCTACTAAAATTTTGTGGCTCCTTAACTCAGCGTGGAAGCTGATTTCAATGGATCTCAAATGATTGAGGAGATTAGGTGATCCGCCAGGTTGTGCTGGAGATGTGGCAAGTGGTTAACACTGGTTTCCAGGAATTCACACATGACAAAAGTCCATTAGTTTAGTTCCCTTAGATGAAATGATCCAATAGTAATGTTTGGTGACGAAGATAAGAAACAGGAACAGGACACTTAAGTTAAGGAGCTTTATATGATAATCTTAGCATCCATTGGAACCTCCCAAGAATAACGTTCCAGAGTAAAGAAGCCAGGAAATACTGTTGTTCCAATGATGAATTTGCAATGATCCAAGTCTATATATTATATTTAAAGATCAATAACTCCGAAATCACTATCAAAGGATGCCTTATTTAAAGCCTGGATCACAATTCCAATATAAGAAATGTCCACAAAATATCCTGACTTCATTCGAATATGAATTCCTCAGCTCACAAGTCTAATAATAATCAAGTAACTCCACTGATATTAATCCGTAAAATTGTTTTCAAGTTAATCCAAAGATAAACTCCATATAGAAGATAATCCAAAGGTAATCCAGAGATGCTTATCCAAAAAGGATATCAATATTCCAAAGTTTAAAGTTGCCACAATGTTGATTTAATAGGTTCACTATCGATCTCCGAACGAGGTGCAGGAATCCACCGTGGTGGTGTAAGCGGAGAAGCCACCTGGTTGCTTCTGGCAACCACTGGCCAAAACTGGCTCAGAAAGCGAAAGTGAAATCCTTGACCAAGCAGCAACCAATCTCCATTCAGATTTCTCCTTCAATCTGTGGGCGGTGCTGGTGTCTTTTGCGATTTTGCTTTTCCCTTTTCCGTTTCACGTTTTTGGGTTTGAGATGGAGGATTTTGGGGGACCGGATGCCGGATGCTGGATGCTGAATGTCGAATGGCGGATGGCGTGGAAACGGAGCAACCAGTGCCTGCGAACGGTAGAATTACAACTGAATCCAAAATCAAATGTTATCCTAGCAATATGCCTCCGAAAATAATGATGATGGCGCAAAACTCACGACGACGACGGCGGCGCAGCAACGAATTAAATTACAACAACGGTGGCAACGGCGGCGGCGGCGGCTGATGCTGATGCTGCTTCTGCTGCTCCTTCTGCCTTGGTGGTTGGGGTGGGTTGCCTGGTGGGTGGTTGCTATTATGATCCGGGATGCCCGTAGCGAGTAATCCAACCCAGACCCTCGAACAGGTCCCTCACACCACAGCACACCACACCACACCCATGCCTGCGCCAGCTTCAAGCGGTGTGCCTGGCTAATTCCGGGCTCAAAGTCGCATTTTCTGGGATCTGTACAAGTGGTGGTCGAGGCTGGTGTGGATTCGGGGGATGCTCCTGGATGCTGGATATGCGGGAGCGGGATGGCAACAGAGCAACAAAGCAGGGCGACGGCGTCAAGGCAACGGACGCCTGGCCAATCCCACTCCTCATCGGTTGCCAGGCAGCCGTTCGCTCTCTTTCCCTCCGAAGAGAGCTCTCTGTCTCTCTTGGTCTGAGCAACCCCTGAAGCAGGATGCTGAGGGATGTGTATCCTGGCCAACCAAATCGCTGGCTGCCATCCCACCCGGGTCCAGAGATGTGAGAACTGTGAGTTGTGGGTGTAACCAGGGGCCATGGGAAATATGGGTGCCTGCTGGAGGGGGCTTTTGTATGAGAGGTTTGGGTGGCATGCGTGGAATTTTTCCATATTCTCCTCCGTGGTCAGGTCAGAAATTTACGTTATTTTTTCTGTCTACTTTTACTGCTCCCTGGCCTTTGTGAAGCTTTCGTTGACACGAACATATTTCACATATTAATTTTGACTCTCCTTTCGCCAACGATGGGACAGTTGGTCCTTGTCAGCGAGTCCTGAAGTTTGCTGCGGTCAGCTTTGCGGGATATATATATCTACCTCCATCCATCCTGTCATCTCTCATCACTCCACTTTCCCATTTTCCCTTTGACACGCTGCTGTAAACTGTAAATATTAACAGGTGACCCTCGGGGCTAACTTGGCAATTTGCAAGTGGAACGAGGGGGTTGGTGATGGGGTTGGGGTTGGGGTTGGGGAAAATCAAGCCGCAGGACGCAGGTTTGCACTCTGACATTTGTCCTTTAAAGTTGCCAAGGCAAGAGGAGTGGTCGGTCGGTCTCTCGTTTGAGGTGCCTTCAAGTGGACCGCATTCTCGCCAAAACATTTGGGCTCTCAATGACTTTGGTTTGTAGTGCAAAAGCTGTTTTCCTTTCGTAATTGCCTTTTGGCATAGACCAATATTAAACTTTCAGCAGATTGAAGAGCAAGTTGGGTAAAAGAAAAGTTGATCAAGTGGAATGGATCTTCTTGCTCATCGAAAGATGGAGAAAAAAGGGAGCCATTAATTTAACTTGACATTTAGATGAAGTTTAAGCTTTGATCTAATTAAACAATAAACTTCATTTTGAGAAAGTAAAATTGTAAAAGTAATATAACATTCTTTTCTTTAATAATATAGTCTTTTAACTATGAAGATCTTTTAACCCCCCAAGAGTGTATCAAGGTACTATTTATTGTTTTTCAAGCGTGGGAGTTTCTTTACTTTTAAATTAAAATCGATCATAATTAAGACAAAAATTCATAACTTTCAATTCGGAAAGCTGTCCTATGCTAGTTTTTATTAGGTTAATAAATCTGCTTACTCGGTTTAACATTCTAAAAAATGTCAAATTTTGCGAATTTTTGAAAATTTTAATGATCAAAGGGGTACGATTTTTTTCAAAAAATTGGTACATTCTTTTTCTCTGACATAGCTAGAACGAATCGGCTGATGATGCTGATCAAGAATATATATGGTTTATAGGGTCAGAAATTACTCCTTCATTGATTTTAAAGCTTTGGACAAAAATTAATTACCTTTTAAAAACTCTTGTAGTGACTAAAGATTTGAAAATTTAATCTTTATAGTAATAAAATAATTATTTACACACTTGCACAGTCATATTTTAAGTATCAATAAGGTACCATTTATATGATTTGTATTTTCTAAACAATTTTAATTATTTATGTCAGATGAATAATGATTTCTAATTCATTTTTTATAAAATAATAATTTAAAGCTTTTAATTATATACAAAAAACTAATGGCATAAACTATGATATATCTTTACTGCTGAGATATTTGAACAACTTTGACTTAAATAAATTTTTAAATGTGCGATAAATTGATATGGTGTGAAATAAATATATTGGACGAATATAATCGGAAGAAACATAAATTTAATAAAATCTACATCTATATATGATGGTTTCTGATGAGACTATTAACTTCAGAAACAGCTGCATAACAAACTCTGGCAGATATTCTCAACCAAAGATTAATCTTTAAATTGTTTTTGTACAAAAGAAAGTCAACCATTTATGAAAAGGTAAACTATCTTCGATAGATCAAACTTTAATGAATGAACTTTTCTGATATTTCGAGTTCAAAAGGTTTATTGCAATACATCCACTTGTGTGCAATCTGCGCCACTTGTCCAAATTCCCAGTTCCCACTCCAGTTGAAGCACAGTAGAGCAAAAATTGCCAGGATAAGGGATAACAGACAAGTGCAGGACAAAGTAAATACTGGGATGAAGAGGTAGAATCCCAGCTGGCTGGCTTATCCTATGCTGAATCTATCCGGCTACAACGTCAACAAACAATTAACCTTTTTGTGAGCCGGTCACTCACTCATCGCAGGGATGAGCTGCAACTGGATGGGAGTTACAGAAGGAGTCAGAGGTGAGTCCTTTTTGTAGGGCTTCGGTGGCATGATTCCTCCGGCAAGATAGCATTCAGCGAGAATTATGCGACGACAAACGACTCGCTTTGACAAATAAATAAAATAAATGTGCGCTTATCTTGATTGCCAGGAAGCTCCTCGCACAAATAGCTTTTTGTTGGGCACAATTAAAAGAAGCCCGCCATATGCAACAGTTCCCTGGCTAAAACTCGGATACCTCAAGGATCTTGGTAACTAACTTCCACCCACACTTGGACAGCGAGCCACCTGGCCATCTAGCCAATCATCGACCAAGTGAAGCAACCACTTCAACTGGTACGGATTCCCGTTTAGTACTTTCCTATTTTTAGTGGCTCTCTTTCTGGTTATTAAACGTTAAGCTCGTCATCTTCTGCCTCGTCGATTCGATGAGCACCCATCACAAATCCGTATCAATTGAAAAATACAATACAACATGAATGCGTGGAAGGTGGAAGATACATACATATATAGGGGAAGCCCCTTCCAAATACGTTTGTTGGAAAACACCCACAACCGGATAGAAGCACGGATACCCTTCAACACAGGAGACATGAAACAGATTTCGCATCAATATTGATTCAGAAACAATGCACTTCGAGAAAAATATATACCTAAATAATAGTGTATTTTAATTGCAGTCAGAAGCTTGTAAGGCAGTAAAGAAGTCATTTCCGACCTTATAAATCATATATATTCTTGATCAGCATCAATAGCCGAATCGATCTAACTAAGCCCGGACAAAAAATAAATTTTCAAAAATTTATAAATTTCATAAGGGGTTACATCATTAAAATTGTAAATTTTTGACAAAAAATTAAATTTTTTATATTTAAAAACTTAGTATGCTGATTTTTTAAGTTTATAAAAACTAGCACAGAACTGCTTTCCGAATTTAAATTTATGCATTTTTGGCCCAGTTATGATCTATTCGAACCCATGGATCTAATGGCTAAATGCAAGGCGAAATTCCGAAGTTAGCTTCCTATTGTGTGTTTAAATTAAAATAATTTTATAATAAACAAAGATTTTAAACATCAAAAAACAAAGTTTATGAGGGTGAAAGATATCATCGTTGCAGAAAATATCAAAATAAATATACGATATTAAAAACGATATGGAAAAATATCTAGTTTTCTTAAATCTGATTAAGATACTGATATTTGCACTTAAAAATTATCCTAGTTCTTAGAATTTCAAATCAAGATTAGTAGAGGAAATTAATTTAAAATAAATTTCCCAATTTCCATATAGATTTTCCCACAGTGTTACAAATTCGTGAGCCTTTTATCGGAAAAGGAAGGTATTAGTTGACAGCGGGCGGTTATTAGCGAGTCGTCGACTCATCCACGTGAGCACCAAGGACCTTCCCATACCCGGTTTTCCCTCACTCCCTCTTGAACCATTCACGCACCGTGTGAAGCCCTCTCAATTTGTTGTGATTACCCGATGATGTTGCCATCCGGATTGGGATTGAAATGATATGATATGCCCCCCACTCCTGCATGTCCTTGTTGTCGTCCTTGTTGGTGGTGGTAATTTGCGCTAATAAAATCAAGTACGTGGGCAAACATGCGCCCTCCGAGCGACCCTTTTTCCTGCTCAGTGTGTCCGATATTTTGTTAGATAGTTGCGAAGCCGCGGCGAAGTGTAATCTCGATTAATTCATTGTGCGGCGCTCGAGTGGAATATAATAATTATGTCTGCGCAGCGGAGGATATAGCGCCCGGATCTGGGTGCCGGGATTTTGAATTCAGAGTTCCCAATTTCGAGTTCCAGCTGCACTTTGCCTCTTTGTTGCTTTTTGTTGCCTTGCACGTGGCTCCCGGATGGCTGGATCTGTGCCCGTGTCGTGTGTCCTGCGGACAGGTAGTATCTGCCATTATCCTCTGCGGGGTGTGCGCCAGATATATACATATAGATATTCAGATAGTCGTACCCATCCATCTGTCTAACCACCCAACCAGCAGATAGACAGCCAGGCATCCATCCATTCATCCCAGTTTCAGTTTTCAAATTAAGTCGCTTTAATTGTGATATCAGGCAAACGTTTAAAATACGCCCGATTTTAAGCTGGTCCTTGTGTTCAGTTCAGTTCAGTTCGACCCTCACCCCTCATCCTCCGGGGACATGTTGATCCTGTCATTATGTTTGTTTACAAAGCCGCGACTTTTGCTGTTTTGTTGTTTCCCGTTTGCTGGTTTCCGCTTTGATTTCCCGCCCACTGCCAGTGATTTCCAGGATTCACCGGAACCAGGAGTTTCTGTTTCGGGTCCGGATTTGCAGTCATCACCCCGTAAAAAAAAAATAATAAAAAATCGGTAACGCGAATCGTACGTTTACAGTTTTTCTGCTCATTAAAAATAAAAGAAGTGGCATCGCAAATTGATTGTTATCCATTCAGTTTTCGCACATGTCTTGTTTTGTTTTCGAATCAACGAGTTTTTAGCCAATAAGCAGGCAGATTTATGGAGATTGGCATCTGTTAATTGGTATTTGTTAAGAGGATTAATTACATTACTTGTAACTCGAAACGTGAGAATCAAATTGGGATATTTTAAGGGGAATAAACTAATTGAGAGTGTACGTTTTTATAGAAGATTTTAAAGCGGTCTTAAAAATGTCTTATATGGACAACGTTAAAAATTAAATATTGTTATTAGAGATTAAAGAACGCTCTCCTGATTAAAGAGTATAAGGACGTGGCTAAATCAAAGCGTCTGAGGATTTAAAATCCATTAAGATGTCGAAAGTGCCTTTATCCTCCCTTAATATCTAATTTTTATGAAATATCTATCACATCTATAATAAAGTGCCTTTATCCTCCCCTAATATCGTATTAAGTAACTAATTTTTATGAAATATCTATCACATCTATAATAATATACCCAAAAACTCACCCGTCACAGTAATAAACGGCGTTCCATCGTCATCTTCGGTGGCCTGCACCACAGTCACTTGTCCATTGGCCACCTGCTGGGCCAGATCCACGCCATCCTTGATGGCCGTAAGATCAGCCATGCTATGGATGGGTATCGAATGGGTCACGGTGTTGCCGTTGGGCTCTGTGGTTGTGATCGTTCCAATAGTGCCACCGTCGCTGCTGCTATTCACCACATGCCCATGGATGTGGGCCTCATTACTCGAGTCGCTGGCATCCATGGGCAGGACGACGCGAATCACTTCCAACTGGCCGTCGTCCGTGGTAACCGCACCCGTGGAATCGTCGTCCACTAGTTTCTTCTGCAAGAGCTGGCAGTTCTGCAAGAGTGGGAGATATTTTACCTATTTATCAAGGTAAGGTGGAGAGCTTTATTTTAAATAATTGCTTATGTTTTGTTAGCACCAGGCTCAGAATTTAGAAAACTACAAAGTCAGAATTATCTCTGAAGTGACTTCAAACCCACCTGTGTCATGACATCCTCCAGAGTGGCGGACACAACAACTCCATCCTCTGTGCAGAACTCAAACTCCTCGGTATGCGGTGTCGAGGTGTCGCTATTTGTGGTGCTAGCGGCTCCGGTATTGGTGCCCGTGGTGGCGCTCTCCACCTCCACGGTCAGCTGCTGCTGCTGCTGCTGCTCCTCCACAGCATCCACCGGCGGTGAGGCTGCATCCACAATAGCAGAGCGCGTCGAGATGATGAACTGGCGCTGCGGAGCCAGGCGTGTGGTCATTGGTTTCGTTTTATTTGGTGTTCTTTGTTCGTAAAATATTTATCTTGGGACTGAGGCGATGCACCTTTGAGGCTAAATTCGTTGACTAGTAGTTGCGTTCTGTTTATTGTTTCCTCCAAGAGTTAAGGCAATGGCGGTATTTAGGTTAAGTTTTGGTTTCCTGTTCAGGTTCCTCTTCTGCTTAGGCTCCTTTAAGGTGCTCCCCTCGTGGATGCTGCAAGGGAAAGTGAAATTTCATGGATTTAACAAGGCATGTTTGTTGTCAATCAGAGAGCAGGTCTTCTTCTTCAATAAGGAAGCAACATCATCCACCATTGTGTGGCAACACCACCCACCCCCACTCTTCCCCTCCCTGTCCCCTGGATCCATATCCTTTGTTATCCCCCACTCTCTTTGGTGTGTAATGGCGGCGGTGGTGGTGGTGGCTTCGCTGCTTCCGCTGGGGCGTTGCTATGAAATTAAACTTTTCGCAGGTATTTCTTCGTGCTTTGATTTCCTCAATGCTTTGTTCTCCTCGCAGCAGGAGCAGCACATAAATATCTATATATAAATATGCGAAAATGCACAGTGCCGGCGGTGAGGGGAAGGGGAAGGGGGAGGGTGTGGGTGCGGGTAAGGTACGCCTATTGTGTACAGCATCGTATTTTTTCTCTCCCAGTCGGCCATTTTGATTTACTTCTGATTGCTGCTGTGGCATCTTCAAGGCAGTGCCATTTCCTTTTATTTTCTATAGCATACAATCGGGGGCAATGTTTTGGGTAAAAACTTGACATTGCTTGGGGACAGAGGCGTTGTTGGGTCAAAATATGGGGAGGGGTTTATTTAAATAAGTATATAATTGCCCAAGTAATAACAAGAAATGTATGAACCAATTTTCTAGGGGGATATTCAGTTATAGGGTGTTATAATTTCAGTCCGAAGCTTAAAAATCTATGAAGGAGTCGTTTCTGACCCCATAAATTATATATATTCTTTTGATCAGAATCAACTGGCGAGTTCATCTAGCCATGTTCGGTAAAAAAATTAATTTTCAAAAATTGTCCGAAATTGCACAATTTTATAAGGGGTTACATCATTAAAATTGCCAAAAATTGATCAAAATTTGATGTTTTTAGAATGTTAAATCGAGTATGCAGATTTATTAACCTATTAAAAACTAAAATAAAACAGCTTTCCAAATTAAAATTTATGCATTTTAGTTATGAGTTTTTTAAACTTTAATTTGTTGAGTAAATTGACATATAAATATTTCGCTTCTTTTCAAACAAATATTTAAACAGGTATAGAAAAACAATAAAATATAAGAAAAATAGCTCCAAGCAATGAAATAAGAATTGTTACAATTGTAAAATGTATTTAATGTACTATAATAAAAAAATATACTTGAACAATTTAGGTTTATATTTTAAACAAAAGGTTATCTTTTAATGGATACACAATGACAACCAACCAAGCTTCTAACATTAAATGAAATGGAAACTTCCCCTCTTAAAATCCTCAACTTATCCTGCACTATTTAATTAATTATCCTTAGTGAGATAAAAGCCTCGGGGAACTGTTCGCGAGTGCAGCTTCCACTGTACTTACATTAACCCCCACCAGGGGATGCTATTTCTGCACAAAAGCTACGCCTCTGGCCAATTAAATTAAACAAATTGTAATTGTTGACGACACAAATTTGTACATTTACGATTCAATCAAAGAAAAGCACATTTTTATTGAGACAATTTTAATGTTCATCAGAAATATTCTTTTTTTAGAAGGCGTTAAAAGTTAGTGTAATACTTGTTTTTTTTATTGGAAATTTTAATTTGATGATTTTCTATCAGTTTTTAACGACATTTTTAAGCAACGGTTTTTTTTTATTGATTTTTTGTTTGATAAAATATTATTTGTTTATTGTTTAATTATTGATAAGGTATTTGTTAAATTAATTGTTATTTAAATTAATAAATATCATTCTGTTCATTTTTCTTTTACTCATGACAGTTAATTTTTAATTGCGAATTTACTAAAGCCCGTAGGAATTTAGTTCCTTAAATTATAAACACTTTCATTTAGAATTTTAAAATGTCCTTAGTATTTAATTTAACTGAATTTATCATTAAAAAAGTACCTATTATCCGTTTAAAATACATTTTCCAAAACTTTTTAATTAAGTTCTCCTTTATGTTTAGTTACATATCAGTCTGAGTTAATGAAATTTGCTAGATTTTCACACTTTCTGCGCTTTTCTTGCCACTTTAGCGCTCTTGCACTTGCCACATGCACTTGTTCACAGGGCAACCGGCTCAAAGTAAATAAGGTCTGGAGAAAGCACCGCTGGCAATTCATCCCGAAACTCAGGGAATTGAACTTTGGGGGGCGGATATTATATTATTATAGGGAATGTCGACTGGGGGTATCCCCCTTTTCTCTTCTTGTATTTTGGAAAGCGCGGACAGAGCAAACGACCCGGCATACGTCACTTTAGGTCTGGTCTGAACTGGGAGGGAGTCGGGCTGAAAGTTGTTGTTTATAAACAATAAACGAAGTTGGCCATGGGGGGTAGGAGAGTTTCCTTAATGGGCGGCAGTGGTGGGTGTAATGCGTTTTCCCCGGTTCGAAGTGAACTCCTTGGGCTTTCAGTGCACAAATCAAACGGCGTGCGAGGCGAGCTCGTAAATTTTGACGCGTGAAAAGTGCAGCTCGCTTGGGGTAAGTTTTCAGTCACGACACCCACACTAGCAGTGTTTACACCTGCACACCGGTTCACCTGTACAGCACACACACACACTATATAAATCACTAGGGACGCGCAACGCCAAATTATTGATCAAATAAATATTCTTTTCGGGATTCTATACTCTCTCTCTGATGAGTCTCTCTTGCAGGATATTGGGGATTTACCGTGTTTATATAGTGGTTTATATATAGTTGTTAAAACTGCTGCGGTGTGTTTAGTTCGAGCGTGAATATGCAACTACGGCGGGGAAAATATTTCAACCAGCTTGACCAAGGAAAAACCCGGCAGCAGCAGCAGTGCCAGTGGCAGTGGCTGTGGCAGCGGCAGGAACGGAAACAAAAACAGAAACGCACACAAAACGCAACTGAAAAACTGCAGCAGCAGCAGCAGCTATCGAAAACACACACTCTGTGAAAACTCTGGCAATGACAATGGCCTGGCCCAAAAAGGGGGTTGAATAGTTTTTGGTAAATTGAATTGGTCAAAATGCATTCGATGTGGCGCACAACCTGCACAACCTGCTGTCAGAGTAGTCAGAGCGAGATGGAAATCCATTTGAATATTATTTGAATTTAAATGACGGAAAACAGTAGAGACTGGATAAAGGGAATACTTTTTAAACAATAAAAACTGTGTTAAGAGAGTCTATTGTTTAACTGTTATTTTAGTTTGATTTCATATTTTGATGTATCATAACTTTTATCTATGAACTTCACTTTATCTTTTTATTTCCCAAAAGTTGTAAATGTTTATTGCAAGTTTTATCTATAAAAGCATTCAAAAAACGTACAAATCTGCATTTAGCCACCAAAAAATAAGTTAATTTAAGTTTTAATTACCTAATAAAGTATTTATTAAAGTTTTGCCTTTTAAATATTTGTGTTTCCCTTTGGGAATGGTATTTGTTTTTAATTCCCAAAAGAAAACTAATTGAAGATGCTTAAGATAAAACTATATACATTTGAAAGTTAAATATTTGTTTCCTAAATTTTTTAAATAGTGTATACTAAATACTACTTTATACTAACAAACTCCAAAGATCCTTTACCATTATATTTAAAACTGATAGTTGAAGTTACTAAATTGTAATTGTTTTTTTAGGTTTGTTAATTTTACTCTATCCAATTTGTCAACAAATTCCTTTAATGCTTCATTGAATTTTGAACTATTTACACATTTTTCTATACCTCTTATATTATTTATTTATGTTTATCATTAGAACCAAATGTTCTTGGCACATGTTCAGTTCAATATACAAGCATAAAAAGGTTAAGGAATTAAATAAGGGAGAGTGGGAGCAGAGGAGGACCCTGGGACTGGGTAGCTAGTCCATGGCATTGACCCTTTTTTAAAGTCCTACCCCTGAGGTTGTCTCTCCGTCGGCAGCTGCGTTGGCATAGGGACAACCCGAGAGAAGGACGGAAGGACACGGGGCCAGCCAAGGGGCAGGATAGGTGACTGAAGCTCAGACAGCGTGACGACGCTTTCCTCCTTGCATGTGCCTAATATTCATTTATTCAGTTAATGCCTGCAGCAAGTAACCTACGCGGGTGGAATAGCTACGACAACATGTGTCCTGCCGCAGGACGAGAAGGTGCATAGAAATTGCCCGACAGTTGGTGAATACTTTATAGAAACATGTCGTAATTATTCTAATTTTATTGTCAAGTTGGGTCTTTTGAATATTGTTTGATAAACATTTTAAGGAATTAGTTTGTAAACCTTTGTTTTAAAGGGAAATTTATGTAACTAAATAAGGTTTTAATATAGAAAGTTATGAATAGAAACAATTTCTTAAAACTATCCTTTTGTTCTCAATGAATAGCGAATCTATGAGTGTATATCCTTGCAAATTGTTTGCACCTTTGTCTCCTTTTCAATATCGGTTACAACTGATGTCCAAATTGACATTGACATTCATTAAAACGGACGCGACTCATCAAATGAAAGATGATGAATGTAATATGGCACTCGCTCGTTGGGCGTGTGCGGCGTGTGTCCTGTCCCCCGCCCCCTTGACCGCGTCCTTGCCCTCATCCCCATCCTTATTCTCATCCATATCTACCTTCACTCTCCTGTTCGGCATCACCCCCTTCCCACCATCTATCTTTACAGGGAAGAAGACGAAGGCAGTGAAGCAGGACGAGTGGCGTGGCGAGGCACCAAAGCGGAAGTGCCCAGCAGGATGTTGAAGGAGTTCTACACGCTACGAAAACTAGACTCTCAACATTTGAGCTATTGAGTTGAAGTCTTATTAATAATATTATTAATATAATAATATAATATAATAATATTATTAATATAATAATATAATATAATAATATTATTAATAATATTACCTTTACCAGTCTCTCTTTATTTGCGAGGCATTAGAGGATTACTTTCAAATAATATTCTATTTTCTTTACACATATTCTAAAGTACAAATATATATATATTATGTGAAATTACCCACGTCCAAGGAGGAATATAAATACCTTCAGTAAAAGATCAAGTTTAAACACAAAGGTTATCTCAAGACAATGATAATTATATAAGAAATCGAGCTTTGAAACAAACTGTGTGCTTTCGCCTCTCTAGAATCAGTTCACTCTAATCGATCGGCATCAGTGGTTACCATGCTGAAGTGCGGACTAATTTTTACTTTTGCAATTATTGCCACTTGCCATTTGGCATCTGGATCAGTCCAGGAGACTGAGGAACCTGCTTCTCTGAACTTTTCACGGGAACAAATGGAACAATTGAGTGGAATCTGCTCCACGGCACTTGGGCAACTGCAACACCTGACCCCCAATCAGAGCGACGGAAAGGTACCAGCTCCAGAGAAAAAGATTCCTTTAGACTTCGAGCGGATCGGCACGCGATTCTTTTACATCTCAAAGTTTGCCAGGAAGAATTGGTTCGCTGCCGGAGAGACCTGTCGACAGATTGGTGGCCAACTTGCGACCATCCAAAGCGATGAGGAACTGACTGCCATTAGTTCGCATCTAAAACACGAGAGTTACTGGATCGATATGAACGACCTGGTTGCCGATGGCAAATATGTGTCCTGGAGCACCGGCAAAGCAGTATCCTATTTCAAATGGCATCCCAACCAGTCTGAGGAAAAATTAAATAATGAGCATTGCGTTGATCTCTTGCAAGGGGAAATGCACAATGAGAGCTGCTTTAAGAAGAACCTCTTTATATGCGAGGCAATTGAGAATTAAAAAGGATAAAAATTGCAATTTTCAATACATCTGTTTTATAATAAATTATAATGATTCTTGTACAGCTCTCTTTTGTTTTCCTAATGGCAAACTGTATGCACTTAATAAGCAACTAACTACATTCCTATCATAAATAAAACAACCTGACAGACCTACATAAGTACTGATTGTAGCTACCAGAAAACTGCACTGAATAATATTGGATTTATATTTCAAACATTCAAATACATCAAAATGTTTTGTTAAAGATTAAGTTTATATACAAGTATACATACTTTCTTTGTTATCAATTAAAAACGAGGTCCTAACGTCACTCTAAAATAACCCCGCAATCAGTTCCCTCTAAACGATTACTTCGAAGCCCCTTATCTTAATAGGTGTGATCCTTAATCCAATAATAAAGATAATACTAAGCACTGTGTAGACCTTTTTATTTCTGAATCACTACAGGATTAATACCTTTTTTGAGGATTTAAAAAACTACATACTCTACAGAATAGTTTTTCATGAATTATTGAAATAATTGAGATTTCGAACATTTTAATTAAAAATCTATAATATAAAATAATATTTCCAAATTAAAATTAATTCATTTTCAGCTTAGTTATGATAGATTTAAAATTATGATCTTTGATCCAACTGCAAAGTTTAAGATAATACACAGTCAGCTTCCTGAAGTTAGTTTTTCTTTTTGTTTTTAATATGTATTCGGAGTATATACAAATTATAAATATTGAATTTATTACAAGAACCTTTCCATATAATTCCTTGATCTAGAAATTTAGTTTTAAAAAGTAACTTAAATTGATCAAGAGACTGAAATAAATACTATTACCTATATCATTAAAATATTATTCTCATTATAATAATCTGGCTTCAAATAACAATTCTCTCAGTGTATATTTGGAATTGTAGATGCCTGGTGTTTACACCTGGCGCTAGGACTCGCTGTAATGTGCAACCGGCCATGGCACACTCCATATGGATGTGCCACTTGGCTTGGGCTCGGTCTTGGGTCGGGGAGGGGTGCTCCTGCAGGGTTGCAGGACGAGATGAGATCAGGGGGATGGGATGGATAGGTCTGACTGACTGACTGGCTGTCTGTTTTTTGGGTTTTCCCTGAGAGGGCCTCGACTTAATTGTCTCTAAATGCCAGGGCGCCGTGGCTGGGAAAGGCGCAAATGAAAATGCGGAAAAACCGCTGGCCTGGGGTTGGGTAATTTTCTCATTTTCTCGTTCAATGAAAATTCGCGCGTTAAAAGGAAAATGAGAAAAGTTCTTAGGCTTTTGATCTTTTTTCGATTTGCGGCTTGTAGAAGTTTTTTTTCCTCCCATTTCTATCGCTCTTCAGTTTTTCTTCTTTTTTTACCTGCTAATTAGGAAATTCTGTGGTTGGTTTATATGTTTAGGTATATGTGTTTGTATGTAAGTATATGTAAGCCGTGCTAGAATCTACCAAGAACTGCGAATCTAGAACTTACCATATCGACTAAGGTAGCTGCTTTGGCTACTGGAACTCCTCCGTGTGTTTAGTGAATCATTTTGGATGTTTCTGGGAATCCGTGGATTCCTTGTTGTTTTGCCCAAGAACTTCGTTTGCCAAGTTGCTGCGTCGTTTTCTCGCTGGCAAATCCTTGGGTTTTTCCAACTTGATTACGGCGCAGTAAAGGGACCGGAAGGAAATGGCTCTCCGATTCGACGTAACGGAATTGTTTGCGTTTTTGCGGTTGCCTAGCAACAGATGACACGAAAAAAACAACAAACATTCGGCGCGCCGACATTTCCTGGTCCTCGGATTCCAGAGGTTCCTGCCTCCATTCGATTGATGCACTCTATGCTCATACGCCTTGGGCCGAATCACTTTCCTTAAAAGTCACACTTCTAATAGGAATTATTTGCACGTTTTGAAGAAAAACAAAAAATAATAATAATAATGACACCGACCAGCTGACTAGCACTGCATATCGATAATCGATACCTTTTGTTAAATTCACTTGCGATACTAAATCCGATTTTAAATTCAATATGGCGGGAAAAGCGAACTTATATATATATTAGAAATATATACTCATAAAGACTTAAAATATACAAATTCTCATATTTTAAAGAAAGAAAATTTCGCTTTTTTGTGTATTAAGAAGTTCAAAGTAATTTATAAATGTGTACAGCGCTGACTTATCGATGTTTAACAACCTAACAGCTGTTAGTAGTGTTGATAAACGCCCATCACCGGTAGCAGTATGTTAATTAACATAGCGTATGTTATGTTAACCTAACAGTGTGCCTATCGATATCGTTATCATGACGTATACTAAAGGGCGGGCTTTTTAAATCTGTAAACCTAGAAAAATGCTAGCTGAATACTAATTGCCAAGTTATTTCTAGTTAAAAACAACTTTCACACATAGTGCACGGCTCCATGTATATCTATATTTCCGCCTTTGACAAACGTGATCAATTCGCTGCGCATTGTTCGCTAATTAATTTGTTGCGAATTGCAATTTTAACACTTGCGTTAATTGCGCCAGCAACAAAATAAGACAAAACAAAAAAAAAACTATGCGAGTTGGAATGAAGCAATAAAAGTAGCAGACAGCCTCTTACGTCCGCTTGTTTACTTATATATTTTTTTAGTTAGGTTTGTTTTTTGTTTCTAGTTTTTCCATTTTTGCCGCTTAATTAACCAGGTAACTCGGCGCTCGGCAGGCAGGTGAGTGAAGTGCACACGTGTTGCACATTAATGCCATAACCTGGAATTTATTGCACTGCTCTCGTCGCTCTCGCAGATTTGCTTTTGTTTTATTTAATTCAACTGCGTTGCAAGTTGATAGGGGAAACGAGGGGGCTTTTCCCGGGCTGAAAAGATAAATGGGGTCTCTGTAATGGATATTTGTAGTTTTATTTTCTGCCAAGTCCAGTGCGTTGACAAACCATCTAAAAAATTCAGTCATTTGCATGTCATTTCAGGGACTCCTTGTGGTTGGCAACCGTAGGAGGTCTGCACTGGGAGAAAATATAAAAATTTTAATTATTTATTATATATGCATTTATTTAGGGAAGTTTCAATTAGATTAGGAAATCTATTAAAGTTCATATTTTGCTTAAGACATCAGTAAACATAACTTAAATGCATAATCTTTTTAAAACTATATAATTATCTGCCTGCATGACATTCAATTTGTATGTTTAGTTCGATAATAGTTGATGAGTTTTTCTTGTTAATTTTCATGAAATATTTCCGGTAGTCAATGAAGGGGCAACATTCCTTCAAAGAGATAATGTCAAGCAAATTAGTTTACTCAGACTTTGTCATGAAATTCTTCATTTTCTTAATACCCTGTGACATGTGGGTAAAACCCTATTAATGAAAAGGAAATGCATCGAAATCTATGGGATTAAATAGTAATTTAATGATGTAAATAATAAATGACAAATGATTATTATTATTCCTATTGAACTATAGTTATTTGAGCAAACTAACATGATATGTGATAGGTTCCCATGGAAAATTACTATGGGAGCTGGAATTTTTCCCAATAAAGTTATCAAGTAATAGAAAGAAGTACTATAGAAATTCCATGACGTTTGAATAGTCAGATAAAAATGGTTTAAATATATTAAAATAATGTTTATTTGTTCATTTAATTTTTGAATATTTTAAAGAACTGTTATCTTTCTTTAATAATTTTTTTTTTTGGCTAAGTGCCATAGCTGGACACGCGTAACCTACAAGTACCTGAATGTGACCCATCGGGGAGATATTCAGACATAGAAAAGGGGGACAGTAGGAGTCACAGCACGTTTGTCGCTGTTGCTGTTACGTAGTTTGAGAATCGTTTTGGGGTTGAGAAGGGGTTGAGGGTTGGGATCCATCGGGGGATGGGAATGGGGTTGGAATTGCAAAGCGAGAGAGACTGCGTCAAAGTCAGCTTTCAATGGCATTTCTCGTCCGCCCACGTGCATATGTAACGAACAGAGGCAAAACCATGGATACAAAACACATGCACTGCTAAACAAAATAATGGATATAAATCCCAAGTATAAAAATTCAAAGTAAATTTAAATTTATAGAATATAATAAATGACAATCTCAAGCAAATTCCTTAATTAAATAAATATAAACCCTATAGCTTGGAATAAAATAGATTCTGAATAAGAGGATTTATTTAATTTGAATTTATCTGCACTTACACTTGCACTTATCTTATTTTAATATAATAATAACGTAGACCTCTTCTTTCAGTGCATTATCTAGGGGCAGCTGTTGCAGCATGTTTGTGTCTTGCGGCAAAAGCGTTTGTTCTTGCCGTCTTACCATTAAACCGGCCTCCATGGCGTATGCGTAACGTGCTTAGCCTCTGGCGTTACATCAGCTAAATGCGGAGGCGAACTTGGGGCACTTGGGGAGAAATGCAAAAACATCAAGAACAGAAAAGACGATGTCATGAGCAGACTGCCCGGCGAGACACTAGCCGCCTATTCCGATTTCTTGCACACGATTTGACAAGTTGCGGATATGATATATCTACATATATACATATATGTAGCAGCACATCCCGCGTAACCCTCCGACGACCCGTAACCCTCTTTTCCATGGAGCATGTATCACATGCAAATTCAATTAATGCAAATGCCATTACAGCCAGCAACTGTGCACATATCTCTACCGCCCGAGTTGTGTGTGCGAGTGTGCATATAATTAACTTGACTTCCTCCACAGGCACCAAGTCGGGCTTGGAAATGAAACAAAGCCAAACAAAATACAGTGAGACTATTGTATTTCCTATTCGCAGAGCAGTTTTTAAATTTCTTCGATTTTGCAATTTTTACCTTGATTTTTAGTATTATTATTTCAGTACTTTCTGACCCTATAAATCATATATCTACATATATTCTTGATCAGCATCATCAGTCGAGTCTAACTAGCTTTCCGAGTCGAAATTAAAGTATTTTTGGCTGAGTTATGATGTATTTTTGGATGACCAAGTGTTTCAGTAGTTTTTCTCTCTTGTGAGATGGACTCAAATAAAGCGGATTATTTCGTAAAAACTAAATCACGCTTAAATTTCTTATCCATTAACCCTTGCAAGAAAGGGTTCCACTTATTGAAGCCTGACTGTGGCCCCAAAGTCCGGGCTTTGGAGAGTTACAGGCGGCGTCACCTTGTCGCCGTTGTCGTTGCTGCTGACATCTCGAGCCCAATAGGAAATTCAAAACCGCCTTTTGCCTTTTTTGCTTGATTTATCAACAGCAGCAGCAGCAGCATTCGCATGCAAAACGTGTAACAATTTGTGGGTTTTACATAAGCGGGAGGTGTGCTGGACAGAAAATAGAACTCGTAACCATAGCCAGTAA